AAAAAAAAAAAAAAAAAAAAGAGAAAATGAAAAAGAAAAAGAGTGAAGGAAGGGGAAGTAAGCGGCGAGGGTGACGAAGGTGATGGTGCCGGCAGCCATAGCCGAGGTGAAGGGTTGACCAGGCGTTGACCAGAGCGTTGACCAGAGGGTTGACCAGGTGTTGACCAAGGGTGTTGACCAAGCGTTGACTGGGGGTTGCCCGCTTTGACTCAACGTTGACCAAGGCGTTGACCGCAGCTGCTGACCAAGATTTTGACCAAGCTGGAGTTGTTGATATCTCGCTGAGCCCTTAGCCTATCCCCTTACCCTGTGGATGTGCACTTACCTTACGGTACTTGCTGAGTTTGAGTCTGTCTGTCTTTCCTTTCTGCATTGAGTCTCTTCTGTCTTAGGTGATAGCTCTCTGTGGATGAAGGGTAGGGCCTTGCTGCCAAACCTGCATGGGACTTAGTAGGACTAATCTCTACTTTGGCATCTGGAGACCTGGGCATGAGCGGCGAGCGCTCGTTAAACAACTCGTCTAGTCCAATGACCGGTACTGTCCGGCAGGTCTACTGAATTCAGTGTAGAGGGTCCGAACTCCAAGCTGTAGGCTGAAACGAAGGCCGTCTTTAAGTGTTGAGGCCTGGTTGAACCGCTCTCCTACCGGACCTAGTAAGGCTGATGATTTGTGTCTGACGACTCGACTGTCCCGAGGGATACGAATCCCTCCAAGGACCGGTACAGACCGGTCGGCTGCTTGGTGTGGCACAGTAGGCCGGAATGGCTGAGTTGTGGGCTGAAATTGCCAGGAAGAACTACGCTGAGCACGTCGTCCTGACTGCGGCGTTAAAGAATTCTTGCGGAGTTTGGGGGATCTCCTTAAATGCCTCGTGATGAGCTGTTAGTTCAGTAGTGACAGCCTTAGAGTAGTTGTGAGTAGTGGATCTTAGAGAGTCAGACAGTAGGTTAGTGTGTTCGGGTAGGTCTAAGTGGTGAGGAGTGGGACATTGTCGTGCACCTAGCACCACGATGGACGACTATCCGATGTATGGGTTGCTCGTTGGGTTCTCCCTTTGGGGGACCCTCTGGCGTCTCCTCTTTCCTCTGGGGTTCTGGCACACCTTCACGTGTAGAGTAGATACCCGGGGTGGTGCCTCCACCAAGCCATACACGAAGGAGGAGGAGGAGAAGATGGCCGCCATCTTGCAGGAGAGGAAGGACAAGAAGGAGGCCAAGAAGAAGGCCTTGAAGGAGGAGCAGGCGGCGAAATTGAAGAAGATAGAAGAAGAGATGGCCAGAGAGAAGGAGAGGATACAGAAAGAAGAGGACGCAAAGTTGAAAGAGGTGGAAGAGGAGGAAGAAGATGAAACGTCGTTGCAGAGGAAGAAGGGGCAATACAGTGGCAGTAGGGATGAGGAGATGGAGAAGCAGATCTCAGAGTGGGTCGCCAACTTATCCCTGGGCGAAGAAGAAGAAGTGGCGATGTATATCTCTAAGGACGATCAGGAAGCCGCTATGAGAGCTTGGGAAGCAGAAAAAGATGTTGTAAAGCGGCATGCAATGGAAGATGAGAAGAGAATGGAATGGAGGTTGGCAGTGATGAGGGAGAAGAAGAGGAGAGTGGACGCGGCAGCGGAGGCGGCAGAAGAATTAGAGGAGGTAAAAAAGATAGAAGAGCAACTATCCTCCCAGACTGAACTCCCAGCCCAAATGCGAGTCATAGCTCGAAATGTTGCACGCCTGGCACGAATTCCGGCGGAGCAATATGACTTTAGTAGGAGTCAACACATAGCTGTGTGTTCAATAAAGTTGGGATTCCGGGACTTTGCTTGAGAGTTGGTAGGCGCTATAGGCACTGAGGTGGGCCACCGCCTCGACAAGACTGAGCGGTTTTGCGCTGGCGCCATTGAGGGCGTCAAGGCGGCAGCCCCAAGGAGGAGGAAGCACGTCCTCCTCGCCGGGAACCGGTCAAGGTCAAATTCCCTGATTCCTACAGTGGGAAAAGGGAAAAGAACTTTGACAACTGGGAAGCCAACGTTAAGACCTATGTGCACTTGCAATAGGTCTCCTGGGATCAGCATGTTCTAATTGCGATCCACGCGCTGAGAGATGAGGCCGCCAGTTTTGCAAGGTCCCTAGTTCGCGCCGCCAACTGTAGTGACGATCCCGTTGCATACTCCTCGTTCACGTCCCTCACCGAATTCCTGAAATTGTTGCGCGAGCGATTTGCTGATGTCGCTCGCAGTGTTAAGGCCTCAAACAAGCTCCAGACCATCCACGCTCGTAAATGGAAGAGTGCCAAGGCGCTCAAGGGCACGATGGATGAATTGGTGGCCGTCCCTGACCATGGGGTCACAGAGGCCCAATTGGTCAATCTCTTCTATCGGGCTATGCCCGAAGCCTTTCGAGGGCAGTTCTTCGCGAAGAGTGAAGACCCTGCCACCACTTACGATTCCCTTAGTCGTGAGGTGGTGGCTTTTGAAGCTAAGTCCACGTCCCTGTCTACCTTCTGGCACAAGGACTTAGACAAAGGGAGGCAATGGAAAGGCCGCACTATCTCAGGGCAGGTAAAGACCAAGGACAACCTTGTCCTGACCTTAGATGAGGGTAGTGTGGATGAGATCCCCTACGAACAGATCGAGTGAGGATTAGAGGAAGAGGACAGCGGTGTGGGCCAGGGGAGGACTTACGCTGCTGTCGCGGCTGGAGGGAGGCCGCAAGGAGGACGAGGCCAGGGCCAAGGGGGCCGGGCCTCAGGGAGCCGGTTTCAGGGCGATCAGGGGGTTGGCGGTAGAGGAGGAAACCGCCAAGCGGGAGGCAGGGGTCAAGGTGCCCCGCAAAACCGTCCTAGGAATAGGTCTCCCTATAGGGTAGGAGGATGACACTCGGGGCTAGCACAGGGTAGGCCTTGGGAAACTTTGGGTCTGGACCAGACTTCATGGCAACAATGATTGGACCGGGGCCAGTGCATTTTTTGCGGTGACCCGGGCCATATCATTAAATACTGTCCTAAGTATCGCGAGACCCGAACGGCTGCCCAAGGGCCAAAAGGCAGCCGCCGGTAGGGGTAGCAACTGCCCYTACCATTAGGCCATGTGGGGAACATAGCGCTAGCYGGCAGGAGACTCCCACACCACATGTGCCTATGGCAGAGGTTGCAGGCCGGTGTCTAGATAGCTGCCCCCTTATACACATCTAGATGTGTATAAGAGACAGCCCTACGATTGCCAAGCTGCTGGAAGAGTTCAAGGATCTAACTGAGCCGCCGATAGGAGTAGTACCGCGGCCCATCCAGCACCGCATTGAGATAGAGCCTGGCAGTAGAACTCCTAAGGGTGTTGTGTATAGGATCTGTCTCTTATACACATCTAGATGTGTATAAGAGACAGCTCACAGGCGTGGCAGAAGAATTGACGGAGAGGATGCCTGCCTGGGCCAAGATGAAGAAGGAGAATAAAGGGCAGTTGATCTTACTAGATACAAAGATTTTTAGAGGTAGAGTCGAGGCCCTAGTCGACTCAGGGGCCACCCGCAGCTATATTAGTAAGAAAGCGCTGCAGAAGTTGAGGCTGGGACTTAAAGTCCAGAAATTGACAGACCCCATAGTAAGTATCCTCGCAGACAATCGTACCATGGTTGTAGAGGATTACGTAGAGGGAGTCCAGGCGTATTTCCGCCTAGAGAARGATGGGAAAGTGGAGAAGGTCCTCCACTCCCTGTCTCTTCTCGTAGAAGACAACCTCCCATTTGATATTGTTCTGGGAATGGATTGGGGAGAGGCAGCCGGGGCCACGCTCCATTTGAAGGAGCACGAGTGTAGGCTCCCTTGTTCTTCAGGCGAGGCTAAGACTGCCCGCCTGTTTCACGTGTCAGGAGTAGAGAATCCACTGGCACATTGCTGCCTTAGTGTGCCTGCATTCGCCAGATTAGTAAAGAAGGAGAAACTGGAGGAACAGGTTTTTGTCGCCTATGTTAGGCCGGTGACTGAGCCTACGGAAGAAAAGCCGATGGACCCTGCGATTGCCAAGTTGCTGGAAGAGTTCAAGGATCTAACTGAGCCGCCAATAGGAGTAGTACCGCGGCCCATCCAGCACCGCATTGAGATAGAGCCTGGCAGTAGAACTCCTAAGGGTGTTGTGTATAGGATGTCCCCACGCGAGTTAGAGGAGCTTCGCAAACAATTAGACGAGCTCTGCGAGAAGGGTTGGATTAGGCCCAGTTCGTCTCCTTTTTGTTCCTAAGAAAGAGGGAGAGCTGAGGATGTGCATAGACTATAGGGGTCTGAATGCTATTACAGTAAAGAATGCTGAGCCACTGCCTAGGATAGACGATCTCTTAGATCGAGTGCAGGGGGCGAAGTATTTTTCCAAGATAGATTTGAAGTCC